CTACCATTGTGAAAATTGCTATACTGTATAATGTGTTGATTAATTGACTGTAGCAACTTGATATTTTAGATTGTACATTAGCTAGATAATCTGTAGAATAATTGATTTCTACACTTTAGCTGTAACATATATCTACTAGTGTGAAAATTATTATACTGTATAATGTGTTGATTAATTGACTGTAGCAACTTGATATCTTAGATAGCGATACATAAATAAATAACATACTGTTAATTTAAACGTGTAGAAATGTTCTTGCTCCAGTAAAGATAGAGGTAGTTTGCAGATTCGTGAAATGAAGCAATTTTTTTGGCACTTATCAGATCTCCATAGTTAGTCTGCTTATATGCTAAATAATCTGTAGAAAAGCTGATTTCTACACTTTAGCTGTGACATATAACTACCATTGTGAAAATTACTATACCGAATAATCTGTTGATTAATTGACTGTAGCAACTTGATATTTTAGATTGCACATTAGCTAGATAATCTGTAGAATAATTGATTTCTACACTTTAGCAGTAACATATATCTACTAATATGAAAACTATTATACTGTATAATGTGTTGATGAATTGATTGTAGCAACTTGATATCTTAGACAGCGGTACATAAATATATATCATTATATTAATTTAAACGTGCAGAAACATTCTTGTTTCAGTAAAGATAGAGGTAGCTCGCTGATTCGAGAAATGAAACAATTTTTTGGCACTTATCAGATCGCCATAGTTAGTCTGCTTAATAGTTAAATAATCTGTAGAAAAACTGATTTCTACACTTTCGGGGTAACATATCAACTAAAGCAAAAATTAATATACTGTCACTCTTGTCTTAATAACATTTTTCACATCATAGCTCTATAAAAAGTTCGTGCTAATTAATTAAAGTTTTGTTACGACAAAACCGAGCATTATTTTCTCCAGTTTAACTTTATTGGATCAACGAAATGTTTTTACTAAACATTATATATCACGAGCAGTTTCCAAATATAGAAAAGAAAATAAGAATAAATACCAAGATTATTATAAGAGTTGGAGAATATTTTATCTTTGAACTTATTTTTTGTCATGCGGCATGATCAATGGTGCAGAAATGATAGAATATACTTCGACAGAAAAGTGCCAGGCAATACATCTGCCAAAAAGAAATATGCGATTTGAACCTAAGAGTATTTCATATTTTGTCAGGCTTAATCGGTTCGAACAAATCAATTTCATTTTGCACCAAAATCCTAAAAAAACATGTTTATACTTTATGCGATTTCGTGAACCTCATTCTAACAGAAAGTGGGATGTATAAAAATATTTCAATGACTCAGAAAACAATTTTCGATTTAGAAGAAGCAAGATTTTATTCTTTTGCATTTCTAGGAGGTTCTTTCTCTTCCCCACGAAATTCCTTGGTTTTCAGGATTTTCAAAAGCAGAAGAATCTTCAATTTCTTTTCTTTCCTTTTTACTTTTCTTCTGTTGGCAACACAAAAAGTAAATAAACAAAGTAAATTTCGTAACAGCCTAACGTTATACATTTGTGCCTTGAACTCTGAAAACAGTTGTAACATACTGCAGTAAAAGAAAAAGCGAAATACTTTTGAAAGCAGTAATTTCTGCTCTGTCAGATTTTTGCTCAACGTCTCAAATCATAGCGTAAAAATAACAGAAGGTAATATTTCAACAGATATGTCGAGTTCAAAAGCTTGTATTAAATTGGTGCACAATCGTAGCTGGTCAAAACGTTGTAAAGCTTAAGGATTATTTCTTGAAAAGAAACGGATTGTAAAATCTAAAACCTACATAACGAATTTAAAAGGAAAGAGTAACGACGGAGATGAAGTCTTGTTAGCTTATACTTTAACTCGACGGAATTTTTTTACTTTATTTTTTTACCTAAAACCATTTTAAATCTTCTTAGCTCTGAGATAATCTTTCAATCGTTCGAAACTTTAGAATAGCTTTACATGTCAGAAAAAAATAAGGTTATATTTAGTTCTTTAAATTTTGAAGAATTTGATCCTTTTTGAGTCGATTTGTCAACATTGTTGTTTTTTTTATCGAAAATCTTAAATCCCTGTTTCAAAATTTATTTTTATTTCTTGTAAGAACTGCGTGACTTAGTATTATTATTTTAGGCTATTATCTACACGTTCTTGCAAAATTTTGCACTTTTATAAGTACATCTTCCGAATTCAAGTAAAAAGAAAGTTTAGGTTGGTAGATTTATAATGATGGTTTAATCGAAAAAAATTATATCGTAATAGACAATTTATTATCAATAAAACGTTGATTTATAACCGATGTTGGCGACATATTCCGACAACACATCTACAAGTGACATAAATTTTATATAAGTATATTCGAGTAGCTAAAGTCATTTTCCTAGTGAGTTGGAGATCTTGGGATCGGCTCACCTCAGAAATCAGAAAATGTAAATATGTATAGATGTAACTTAAGGCTTGCTATTGGAAGTTTCTTAAATATATTCATATTTAATTACATGCAAGTTTATTTCAGCTGGAAACGTCAAAGTCTTAGCCTTCTGCACTCTGGAAAAGCTTCAATTACTTGTTCCAGTTAATTGGATTAATTTCAATCTTTTTTATGTGACGTTATATGTGAGAAATATTTTAATTACTGAAGTGTGGTATAAAACTTTCATAAATTATCGATTAAACCATGGATATCAAAGTAATTGCGTTTGTTAATAACTTTTTTAAATTTCGTTGAGAAGCGTTATATGACCACTTAGCTGCTTGATATTTAGCATATACTCTAATTAGTAAAGAGGGTTAAGCTGTCTTTCTCAGAACTGATCGATTGGGATTTGATTCTCAATAAAGTCTTCAAGCAGTCCAAAAAGAAGTTTTTACTTCATTCACTTCTCAATTAGTTAACTTGAACTCTAATGACTTGTAACTCTTTTAAGTAGACATAGATGGCAGCATCACAGCTCAGGTCATCACCATTCGACTCACTGGATGACAAATTCTAGGACAATATCTGCTTCACTGTAAATAAATAAATTAAGCCATATTTCACGGTTAGATGCCACTTGAAGAAGTGTAACTCAAAATTGCTAAATTTTTTCTAGAACTTTTTTCTCCACCTTTCATTTCGATTAGTTTGTGAATTATTCAAAAAGGTTCAAAGTTTATTTTAGAAATTTTGCCTTTCTTTTAGTGAGAATAGTCTGAATTCTTATAGATAGTCTTTTAGTCGGAATTCTTATAAATGTCTCCCATATTTTTTTCTCCTCCCGAAATGAAATTGTTATAAATTAGACACATTAGCTGCCTATGTCTTTATTCTTTTTACAGTGTTAGTACAATCTGCATTATGAAACCCTTAAATTGTTCCAAATATAGAGCAAAACACTATCAAAAGATAAAGTAGCACTTTAATATTATAGCTGCCACGTTTTTATTTTAGATTTTGTATTGATTATTTTTGAAAGCTATACAAATGAGTTTTTGGCAATGATTTGGGATTCATCTTAGTGATGATTCATAGACAATAATAAAATATCAGTGCTTTACGCATCGTAATCTAAATAGTATAAGTAAATGGTGGTAGTATTACTTAGATTCCGCATTACACCTAAAACTGCCTTATTCAGCGTTAAGTTTTGCGGTCCTGAAAGTGCGGTAGATTGTATATGCTTAACATTAATGTGCCACACATTCAGAGAAAATGTCATCCGAAATTCCAACGGTTACATAATATCATAGGACATCTTGTCCTGTCCCAAGGCATGCAACATCGTCGAGTATATCATGGCATGCAACATCGATTGTGAAAAAAAATTCGTAAATAAAGTTGTAACAATAATTAACCCTTTAACAAAGACACTATTATCTCTCTTATATATTTTTTTCAGCCTCTCTAATTACAATTAAAAATATATTTTGATATTTAATTATAAAAAGCAATTTATCTGGAACTTCATTTGTACTAAAGTATAAAATAAAAAAAAGTAGTTGGAATTTTTTCCCCTTCATATTCAAAAAGTAATCAATACTTGATTTTATTAGATCAAATAAGTGTTTCTTTTAGATCAAATAACTGCAAGTTAAAAAAAATATTGTATCGAAGTAAGCAGTATTTGAAAGATTTTACTTTTAACGCAGAAGAAGACACCGATATTTCTTGTTGTGTTTCATAACCGTAAATTATTAAAATTCTAAATTTCATATTTTTTATTTATTTTGACTTAAATTAATACAACTAATGAAAAAAGTATAAAAAACAAGTTTAATAAAAATTCTGTGTCATAGGGATAAGTAATAGATTAATTAAAACAAGCTGATTAGTTCTGAATAATTAGTTTCGTTCAATTATCAAAACATATTGAAAATAAGTAATAACAACTACGAAAATGCGAAATAAACAGCAACAATTCTATATTTCTACGACAGTCATATGAGTTTTTGACATTAACAAAGTAATTTATCGAAATAAATTAAGTCATCTTAAATCTAAAAAAAAAAACATTTCCAAAATCTTTTTTTCAATTTTGTAAACTTTAACAATTCAAAAACATTAGCTCCTTATCACATTTTAAACTCATTTCATTTCTTTTTTTAGAGGGAATAATAAAAACAAACATTTCAAATATGTTTGGACAAATAAAAAATCATAAACTAAACTAATTTAATTTCTTGAAACAAAATACACATGCATATATTTATTTTCCTTGGTATACTTTCAAAGTGATAAATAAAACATAGATCGGAAACGGAACCCTAAACTAACTTTAAGCTGAAAATAACTTCTAATAAAACACATTGCCCTTTATGTCAATTTTAGACTTTCAAAAAAGCAAAACTTAAGCCTAACAAACGTGACCGTGTGTAAAAACAGAGACTTTGATTATTTAACCTCGCAGAAATTGCGCAGTAGAAACGGCGCAGAGGAAGAAACAAAAGATTTCATGCCAAAAAGCAGTTACAAATCTCGCTACTTCGCGATGTTTTTCGCCAAAAACATTTTCTTTAATACTTACCTAGACTGTTGAGTGTAGTAACGGAGCAAATGAAAGATAACAGTGGAAATATGCACAGCATCGATTTTAAGTCATTTTCCATCGCTTCGTTTCCCTGTAAAAGGATTGTTATGTGATATATTCAAAACAGATATCGGGTTTACAGTAAACAATCATAATAAATTCATCATTGATCTTTAGGATGAGAATATTTAATGAAAATGATTTTATGATGAGTTGTTATCAATTTATTATTGAATAGGTTGCAATGTTTATAAATTCCTTGTTGAGAGCTTTGAATTTAGTTTTCTTTTGTGAATTCAAATATTATAAGAATTTGCGTGTTAGGAATTTTATCAGTATAGTGAACGGTTTAATTAAATTTTCAAATGGCTAGGGTAATTCTGTTTTGGTATTATATAATTGTTTGAATGCAGTAAAATGAAATAATTCGTTACAAATTCTCCTCCATCCCTTTTTGAATATTTTATTGTTGAATTGATAATATGTTCTGAAACATTTAGTTAAAGATGCTAGCTCGATACTTTCTTCTAGAATAAATTAATTAGCTGTTTTTCTCTAAGTTTTTTGCTTCATATTTATCTTCTTTTTAAGCACCTTCATTGAAAACACCGCCTTATACGTTTTTGTATTATTTGTTATTCCTTATTTTTCTTAAACAAATTCGCAACATTGAGTATTTTATATTATTAAAAATAAATAAATAAGCTGTAAAATAACATGTATTGTGAAAAGTTCTGTATTAAACTACGGTAAAAAGTACTGAACCCTGAAAAGTACTGGTGTACCCTGAATGCTGGTACTTTATACAGTAACTTGAACCCGAATCTTTCACCGAATATAAGGCGCATACTAAATTATTCAAAAGATGGACGTCTGTTTTAGTACTTCACCGTATAGTACTGTGTTTAGTTCAAGTACCATTATCAGTGCAAAGCTTTTTCTTTGTACTAAGTTCCTTTTTTATATTTATTGCTGCATTGATGAAATATTATGGGGCTATATACATATTATAGACAATTCTATTTAGTTCAAACTCGTAGTTTTTTTTTCTTTCTTCAAATTTCTAAGCATACAAGAAATCAAAAGGAAGTGCCATCTCCGCACTCAACCATAATTGATTATTAAAGAGCCATATTCTGCTACGGTCGAGTTTTATGATAAAAAAAATGAAGTCTGAAAGAATGTTAAAACTTTTGTGCTAACTACACTTTATCAATTTTTGTTGGGTTGAATATGGATATAAAGCAACTTAGTTAAAGTGTTTATCATAATAATTGAAAAACTGTAATTATAACAAGGACGAAAATAAAAAAAGCATTCTTTCTTTTTAAATTGGGTATTTGTCCTAGCTTCAGTTATTTCCAAGGTGATCCAAATTTAATAAATTATTATCAATTTTTTTTTAGAATTTTAAAAATATTTGGCATAATTAACAGGGATCTAGATAAAGGAAGAAAAAAAATCTGGTAAATTACTATATGTAATGATATTTCCGATAAAAAAAAACCCATATAATTCTAACAATAAAACCACAAATATACGGTATTTAAACTATTCACCTGGTAATTTTTTCCTTCATATGGTAACGGTTTACCAGAAATTCTACTTTTAAAAATTACATTTCTTATTGCCACATATTTAGTAAAAAATACAAACCTGAAAAGCAAATTTGACCAAAAAATCTTTTTTGTGCCATTCTCTAAGGTATTATGATAAAATTATCAAATTTTACCACATTTACTAAATTTCATTACGTATTATTTTTTAATTGTTAGTTTTAGTTAGTTTAGTAAAATCATTACCTAAGTGTTTCTGTATAGTTCACGGAGCTATTTTGCCTTCCTAATAGAACCGGACACATGGTTAATTTTATTCTATTCTGGTAGTTTTGACTAGAATATGGTAGTAGATTTAGAATAGAATTAGATATAAAAGGATAAATAACGATTCACATGATGATTCATGAAAACTAAAAAATGAATTGAAAATTTATTTTGATTTGAGCATTTTATTTAAAAAAACTTTGATAATACTTTAATAATATAATTCACTTTAATATAATTTTATGTTATAATTATTTTATATAATTTTATTATATTTTACTTTTTGTTACAATTTTATTATTGATTACCATATTCTATTTGTTTTTATAAATTCTGTTGACATAAATTATTGCTTAAACATTCATGTGGTTAGATTTATCAAAACTAATTAAAATGTCGAATTATTTTTCCTTTAATATATTTTCTAAATGTTAATGCTTGAGTAATTTAAATAAAGAGTAAGAATTTGTAAATTTAATTGCCTTATTAAAAATGATGTTCATATTTTATATCAAGAGTTTCCCAAACTCATCTATTTGAAATATTTAGTTCATTAGCTAATTGGAAAACACCGTAAGTTAAATCTAAAATTCAGAGCGAAATTTTAATGTATAGTTCTAATTTTAGCTTATCTAACTGAAATTTGAAAGTATTTTAATCACCATTTTGGTAACATTTGATTATTTTCAATAATTCTGTATATTTATTCTTGAATAAGATTTTCGATGCTGAAATATACAATTTAAGTGCTTGATATGTAAAACATAGTGTACAATTATTTTTAGTATAAATAATTTGAAGCAACGAAAATGAATAGAGTTATAATTTATGGAGAATATATTTCACTTTAATTTTAATTGGATACAATGCCAATCCATATACTTTTCTAAAAAAAAGTTACATTAATAATTTTAGAATTTCAAATAATCAGTTCGAAAAGTTCAAACTGTAATCAATTATTTTGCTTGATGTTATACCTTTATAAACGGAGAGAGAATAGTTTGTTGGATTTATTCTGAATTCATTCGTTTTGCATCGCTAAAATAATGACTTCATTAAACACATATGTCAAATGCTGCAACGTTTTTTAACATCTTCAAAAATTAATAAATTTTCTAAAATGTGTCTTAAAAATATTCTAGATGCTCATTAGTTCAGAGAATTTACATTGGGAAATGAAACGTTATTTCTATTAAAAAAATGCTGATGGAGAATAATATTTTGCATCAAATCAATTTATCAGTTATTTTTCAGGCGGAGAATTTCATACTTTGCTATATTTTTTTTAACAATAAAAATGTATTATGGCTTAAATAAATCAACAAAATTATTTATAAATTTGGATTTTCTATCTTAAAAGATATTTTTACTCCCTCTTCAAGCTTTGAAATGTATATTTAAGGCTTTTTTCTGGTAATAATAAGAATAAGTTTCTTTATTAATTTCATTTATTCATGATTAAAACTGCATTCAATGCATTTCAATGAAATTTAATTAAACTGAAGAAGAATTCGGGGTGGTTTTTCAGTCAGGATGGCCTTTCTTGTATGATAAGTTACGTAATTTCGGAATTAAGAAGTGAAAAAAAAATTTTTTTCCGCTTGCTGATGTTGCTAATGGCGAAGGTTCAGGGTTCACCTCTCATGAACACACAACACTACAACAATTTAGATTTAGAGGTATATAGCGAAAGTAATCACCCTGTCTCCTCACCGCGCTATCCAACCGTGTATATGCATGGACTTTTTCGTCACTGAAACAATAGGGGGAAATACAATAGAATGGATTCTGAACCACTAAGGCACGATCAGAGAAAGTCTAGTTCGATCAGACATCAGGGAATTGAACACCGGTCAATGCCGTGATATGCGAAGACTACACCCTCTATACCACTTGGACGGCTTTGATAAATTTAATCAGCTGAAATAGCACTGCAAATCCGAAAAGAATTTTCAGTTTTTGACTACTTTTAATGATTCTAATGAAAAAATAAAAAGTTGATTTTTACCCCTGATTTCTTGCGTTTATTGTCCAAAAGTGAAATTTATAATTGCATCCTATCGTGATGAATTATTTCAAGATGTAGGTGCAACGCTTACAATAATTTTTGGGTAAAAAATTAATATTCAGATAAATTTCATCCTTTATGACTTCAAAAATGCAGTAAAGCCTTATAATACAAAGTCTTGTTCAAAATTATAGTTTTGCACCTTTAAGCAAGTGAAACTTATCGCTGAAATTTTTATCTCTAGTTCAGAAAATAGGTTTGTAATGGTCATATTGTTACTAATTTTACAATTTAAAATTGGATCATAATGTGACGTAACTGTTGTGATAAAGCTTGAAATAATAAAATAATTGAACGAAGGTGTTTTAACAAAATTTAGGGAAAAAAAGTTTTAATAATTTGATACGATATTAAACTTGCAAATTTAGTTTCGTGAAAAATTTCACCAGTTGAAAATGTGATTCGCTACACTAGAAACTGATTGATGTAATAAAGCTAGTGAATGTGGCTAAGAACTATTACAAGAACTAGAGTAATATAAATTGATAAAAATGATAACAGGAATTTCTTATCACGTGTTTTGAGAATAGGCTTGTAATACTCGTAATATGAATACTTTCACTGTTTTTAAAATGTGTCATATACTTGAATTAACTATTGTGATTAAGCTTAAAAACGATAAAGGAACTGAACTTTTATAATTTAACGAAAACGAGAACTTCATCGTTTTTTTATCGCTTGGTAGGATAATAGAATTTTTTTTATCGCTTGGTAAGATAATAGAGTTTTTTATCTCTTGGTATGATAATGGAGTTTTTTTATCGCTTGGTAAGATAATAGAGTTTTTTTTTTATCGCTTGATAAGATAATAGATTTCTAACACTCGTGATGCAAATAATTTCACGAGTTAATAAATAATTTACTTGAACTAATTGTTATGATGATGCCAAAGTAATAGAAAATGAAGAGAACTGATAAATAACTGAACTTAAGCAATTCTTTAAAAATGGGAACTGAAATTTGTTATTGATCTCAGAATAGGCTAGCAATCCTCTAAATGAGAATAATTACATCTATTAAAAATGCGTTATGTACGTAAACTAAATGCTGAGACAATCCTAGAAACTGAGTAATTCAAACTAATAAAAGAACTAAAGTTAGGTTTTTATAAAAAAATAAAATTTATTTAATTAAATATTGTTTGCTTGAATTTCACTAATTAACCATAAATTCAGTGTATAGTTATAATAAGTCTGTAGT